TGATTTTCTGAATGGCATTTGTATTGTTTTGAACTTTTTAATGTTTACCTTGATGGAAATGGGAAGTTGTTCCTGTCCCTAGTTTCTTCAAAGTTTGCCAAAAGTGTCTTAATTGTCTTGATGCCTTTTCGGGGAAGGGGGGAGGTTGCTTTGGTTTTTCAAGACAGGGTTTCTCTGTATAGTTTTGGTGCCTGTCCTGGATCTCGCTCTGTAGACCAGGCTGGCCTCGAACTCACAGAGATCGCCTGGCTCTGCCTCCCAAGTGCTGGGATTAAAGGCGTGAGCCACCACCGCTAGGCAGAGTCTTTACACTCCTACAGGAACCATTCCTTACTTTAACATAGTTTCTAGTTCTTTCCAGGGTCCGCTGCTTTAAATAATGAGCTGCAGGGCTGTTTAATTTTTTATCCCCTCAGCAAATGACAGAGCAGTGTTCATAACAGAGTTTAACTTCAAATTATGTTTTTATTAAGTTTAATTATGTGTATATGTGTGTGCATACATGCGTGTGCATATGTGCTTGTGTGTGAGTGTGCACATGTGAATACAGGTCCTCTTGGAGGCTTGAGGTGTCAGATCTTCCTGGACCTAGAGGTAGTTCTGGCCTCATGACAGGGGTGCTATGAACGGAACTCTGGTCCTCCGAAAAAGCAAGAAGTGCTCTTAACAAGGGAGTCAACTCTCCACTCACTCCCCACCCACCCCCCTTTTATTTGAGGGTCTAACTATGTAGCCTAGGCTATCCTGAAACTGGATGTATAGACCAGGCTGCCATTGCGTCTACTCTGGAATTGAAGGTGCACACCACCATGCACCTGACTCCTGTTTGGCCATCATGGAGTAATTGGTGGTGGACTGGCCCCTCTGCCGCAAGCAGCCATAAAGTTTGGTAAACTGTGTGTGGCAAGTGTTCACCGTCAGGGAAAAAGCATTAATAGGCAAAGGCCTGAATCCTTGAGCTAAGGAAATATAGGAAAAGCCAAGCATCATGTTCACAGCTGCTTTCTGCCTGGGGCACTTTCCAAACCAAAGCAGAGAGTGGACCCCAGTGAAGACTGGAGACTGCAGAGGTAGAGGTCAGAGTGCTGGCTATGAATGTGGCCGGCATCTATGGATGGAGCCACTGGACCAAAAGGAGCAGCACACGGAAGCCTGCGTGGCTACTCTTGTCTTGTAAGAATGCTTTGTCTGCTTTTATGTCTGGGTACCACATGGGTGCCTGGTGCCCCAGGAGGTCAGGAAAGACTGTTGGATCCCCTGGACCTGGAGTTACAGATGATTGTGAGCCACCATGTGGGTGCTGTGAACCCAACCTGGGTCCTCTGCAAGAAAAAAAAATGTTCTTAGCTGCTGAGACATCTCTCTAGCCCTGAAAATCTCTGTGTGATTTTTTTTAGATTTATTTTTACTTTTGTGTATGAGTCTGTGTGTGCCACATGTGTGTGCCAGAAGACAATGTCAGATTCCTTAGAACTGGAGTTATAGATTATTGTGAGCCTCCTGATGTGGGTGCTAGGATTCAAACTTGGATCCTTTAAAAGAGTAGTCAGTGCTCTTAACCACTGACCTAGCTCACCAGCCGCAGAAGGTCATTCTTAAATAACTTCTAGATGTACAGTATGTTTCTACTTTTTTCTTTCATGAATACTATTATTAAGGATTATTTAAACACATTCTTTGAGGTGTCTGTCATTATTGTATCTAGATTCCAGAATAACCTCCAATGATTATTTTCTCCTGGTAGCCATGACCCTGGAAAGTCCCCTCCTATAATACAGAGAACTAAGCCATGTGACCAATAAGATGCAGTTAAGGTCATAAAATACATTGCAGCTTCCACCTTGCTCAGTCCTGGACTATTCATTGTGGAAGATGTCAGATGCCATGTCTTTAAAACTCAAGCAGCCCTGTGGAGACACCTACAATGTTGAGGAATTAAGGCTTGCTACTACTAGCCATCACCAAGGGATCAGGTACTTGAATCTGTCAATATGGAAGTAGATCCTCCTGCCTTGGGCAAGAGTTTAGATGACTGCAACCTTGGTCAATGTCTTTGAAGTGGCTCAGTGGCTCTGAGACAGAACTACCAGACTCCTCAGCTCCAACACTCCTGGCTCATAGAAATTATGCATTCATGTTTACTATGTTTATAGATTTAAATGTTGGCAAAGAAAAGACTAGGAGAAATGAAAACATCAATGCAATGGAGAAATTGTTGACAGAAACCCAATGAACTTCAAGGATAGTGTTGGTGAAAGCTCAGAAGAATAATCTGGAAAATAGCTTTGGAAACCAAAAGAAAAGAGATTTTTTTTTTCTGTAATAGATGGCAATAGAAAATTTAGCAACATTGTCACATAAAACAAGTACAGAGAGCTGGGCCATGGTGGTGGTGCACACCTTTAATCCCAGCACTCGGGAGGCAGAGCCAAGTGGATCTGTGAGTTCGAGGCCAGCCTGGTCTACAGAGCAAGATCCAGGACAGGCACCAAAACTACACAGAGAAACCCCGTCTCGGAAAAACCAAAAACCAAAAAAAACAAAACCAAGTACAGAGAAAAGAGAGAAAGAAAGAAAGGAAGGAAGGAAGAAAGGAAGGAAGGAAGGAAGGAAGGAAGGAAGGGAGGGAGAGGGAGAGAGAGAGGAAGGGAAGGGAAGGAATGGGTGGGAAGAGAGACGAGTTGGTAAAGCCTTTGCTATGTAACCATGAGGACACAAGGTTTAACCCCAGAACGAGACATGGTGACTTCTGCTTGCCATCGTAACAGTGGGAAAGCCGAGAGAGATTCCTGAAGGTTGCTGGCCAGCCTAGCCTACTCGGTGAGTTCCAGGCCAGCGAGTGTCTCAAAAAACCACAACAAACACTGCCATGTCTTCCTCATGTTCACTTCTGTGGACTCCTCCTCTAGAACTGTAAGCCAAAATAAATGATTTCTTCCATTAAAAAGAGATCTGGATGGCCTCTGTGTCCATCACACATGTGTACATAACCACACACAACCACATCTGAAGAGCTGGGCACACACATAACATACACAACCACATCTAAAGAACTGGACACACACACACACACACACACACACCACACACAACCACATCTAAAGAGCTGGACACACACACACACACACACACACACACCACACAACTGCATCTAAAGAGCTGGGCACACACACACACCACACACAACTGCATCTAAAGAGCTGGGCACACACACACACCACACACAACTGCATCTAAAGAGCTGGGCACACACACACCACACACAACTGCATCTAAAGAGCTGGGCACACACACACACACCACACACAACTGCATCTAAAGAGCTGGGCACACACACCACACACAACTGCATCTAAAGAGCTGGACACACACACACACACACACACACACACACACACACACACACCACACAACTGTGTCTAAAGAGCTGGACACACATACACACACCACACAACCGCCTCTAAAGAGCTGAACACACACACACACACACACACACACACACACACACCACTCACAACTGCATGTAAAGAACTGGACACACACACACACACACACACACACACACACACACACCACACACAACCACATCTAAAGAGCTGGGCACACACACACAAGCGCATCTAAAAAGCTGGGCACACACACACACACACACACACACACACACACACACACACACACCACAAGCACATCTAAAAAGCTGGACACACACACGCCACACACAAGCGCCTTGAAAGAACTGGGTGATGTAGCTGAGGAGATGTCCTGGCAGAACGTTACATGGGCTGTTTGGATTCTTCCTGCTCCTTAGAGCAGTATGTGAGAGGAGTGGTAAACGGAAGAAGAACTGTCAATCAGAGAAGACGAGACTATCTGATTCTGAAACTGTTTGGTGACGGGCATAAAAGCGTAGAACGGCTTTCAGTCAAAGATCATCTCACACAAACACGGTCTGTGGGTGAAGTGGAGGTAACTGACTTCACAGTTTGTTTTCAGAATTTAGAAAATGTTTAGCAAATACTTCAGAGAACCACAGTGTTCCTACAAAACCCAAGGTCACTATCTTTCGGCTGTCTCAAAAAAAACCAGCTGTAAAGAGAGACTTATCTTAAAGAGATGTATTGGTGTAGCTTTTTAATTGCCTAAAGGAATAAATCATGCCTCCAGGCCATGTGCAGGAAATGTACAAAGTTTGGGAAGCACGTTGAAGAAACTCTACAGAGTTGAAATGAAGGTACAGAAACCATAAGATATTAAAACAAAAACCCACTTTCAGACACACAAACTTTAATAGACAGGAAAGAGGAGGAGGTACCTCTCCACTGTAAAAATATAGGTTACCTTTAACGTAGTGAGAAAGACCAGAATGCAAAACAGAAATGTAAGGTCTTACAGCCAAGAGCCGTGGACAGCCCCTCCCAGGACAGGAGTGAATCCCAATTAGAGCATTTCCAGCATTTGTCTGATTGGACTTAAATCAAATGTCCTGTTTCCCATTCAAAATGGGGAAATCCATAGCAGCCATCCTACACAAACCCTCGTTCTGTGTCAGAAATGGGAGGGACAGAAGACGCATCTCTTTAGTCACAGATCTTCAGGTGCGAAGGGACTGATACACTGAGGGGCCTCATTTGCCCCTGGACCAAGCTCAGATTATGGGATTCTGGACTGCGCACAGAAAGGATGGGTATATTTTCATGTGTGAGGGACAGGACTCATTGGGGACTACAGAACAGGCTGTAAGAACCAGCCACCTCAATCATCCTTAGTAATTCTTAACCCCCTACCAACATGTACATAAAACTGATCCATGCAACCAACAGGGGGCACTGTTAACACATTGGTGACTTGGTAGAAGGCACACACCTTCCAAGTTAGGGTCTCTCTGATCACTCACTGTGGGAGAAGGCCCAGCCTTGTCTTGAGGACACTCAAACCGTCCTATGGAGAGGCACAGGTGGGGTAAGAGAGAAACCTGCCACCAGTAACCAGCATCAACTCACCAAGCCAGCTGTGTGAGAGGCCTTCAAAGCTGACCCTCCATCCTCAGTCAAGCCTTCCCATGAGCCCAGCCTCGGTCAACATCCGGAGTGGAACGTTACGATGTATTCAGAGGTAGAGTGATGCAGCCAAACTGCTCCTGAGTTCCTGGCCCACAGAAATTAGGAAATAAACGCTTATTGTTTTAAATCATTAAGTTTAGAGTAAACTGTGTTTTAAATGATGGGCAAGACAGCCTTATTTCAATTCCCAGCACCTAAATTAAAAAGCTGAGCCCAGAGGCATGTGGCTATAAGCCCAGCGCTTGGGCAGCAGAGACAGGGGGATGACTAGCACTTGCTGGCCAGTCAATCCAGCTAATTAGTGAACTCGGGGCTCAGGGAGAGATCTTGTCTCAAAAAGTGAGTGAGGCTAGAGAGTTGGCTCAGTGGTTAGGAACATTTGTTCCTCTTAAATGGTTTCATCTCCAAGCACCCACAAAGTGGCTCACAACCATCCATAGGTCCAGTTCTAGGGGATCCGATATCCATTTCTGACCTCTGCAGACACCAGGCATGTATGTATGGTTCACATACATACACACAGAGAAAACACTCATACACATAAAATAAAAAGTCAATAACCTATTTTTTAAAAAAGTAGAGATCAGTTAAGAAAGACATCCAACACACGTGGGCGCATGCACGCACGCACGCACGCGCACACACACACACACACACACACACACACACACACACACACACGGTCAAGTGTGCTTACAGACAGTGATGGGAAAAAACTGGAGCTATTTCTTCATTGCGTTCTACTTAATTCAGCTCCTGCAACAAAGAAGATTCACAAATTCATCCGATAATTCTGACTGCAGAACCCATGGGCACCACCTGTGTAACTCTCAAACATGTACACGCACTTTCATAATTGCTAGTTACTGTGGGGAAGTTGTTGCCGAATCTGAACCCACGATTAGCAGGAGGCAAATAATGAAGCATCTGGTCGTAGAAGAAGTTTCTCAACCTGAACCAGCTCACTCATTACCTGGGTCCCCATGGCCTCTCACACCCCCCAGACATCTCCTCCAAGAGGAATAGGCCAGTTCTCTGCCAACCAGCATCCTGCTCTCTGGGGCACCACTGAGCCACGTTCTCCAATGTAACAAACTCTATCTTCTGAGCCAACTCCTAGCCCTGACTGTGTGGTGTAGCTCTGATGCTTAAGCCTCAAGCTTCCAGGTAACTATGTCTCCGCTCCTCATGATTGCAAGGCCTAGGGACAGGCAGAGCCTGTGTGATGCACAGACTAGCTGCAGAGTTTGGCCATCCTTGGCCAGTTGCCTCAGCCGTGAAGGATTTCCTCTGTGTCTGGTCCAAAGGGGACTCCCCCAAAGGGGCAGGCCCATGGACTCACCCAAAATTGAGTCTAGGCCCAGCTCAACCTGGACTCCAGGAGGATTTCTGGTGGCTAGAGAAAGGCCAGCCTTCCTCAGGAACTGATGAAGCCTGTTCCCATCTACCAAAAGGAGTCATTTCCCTTACCTCCAGCAAAAGGGACATATGGCTTCTGGTTAGCACATATATTTGGTGACTATCAACACATCAAAAGTCCAGGCTAGCATCCTAGCCTTTCTCACCTCCTCCTCACCCCCAAACTCCTCCAGCTCATGGGCTTCCCTCCCCACAGCTACTCACGTTCTAGGCCAGCTGTAACCAGTATTTCTCCCCTTTCAGCCCCTGCTTCTGCTACACTCTGCTACGCTTTCCCTAGTCTCTATCCCCGCTCTTCTCCTCTCTTGCAGGGAGCCCCTAGTCCTGTCCAATCTGCTGGCCATGTTCAGTCTACTTTTCTCTCTCCCTGATCTGGACTCCTCCAGATGCCTCTGGCTGTTCTCTCTCATCCGCAATAAAAACCTTCCCCTTAACCACACCATGGAGCGGCCATGTCGTCAGTTTACACAGTCAGCTGTGTGCCTCTGCCCACTCAATCTCCCGTTCCCTAAAGAGGACATCAGCTCATGCACATGGGGAAGAAACTGGGGGCGTGGAAAGGGCCAACAAGGGAACAGCATCAGTGGTGCTGCAGGGACCGTGTGCATCTCACCCGGCCTTTAGATACTGTTCTCCAGGTACCGAGGGCTAGAGTAATTAATGTCTCATGACATTTGACCTTCCAACCACCTGAGACAGAACTTCCCAAGGCTACTGTGTGTTAAAGTGGAAGGTTGTTTTTTACATCTGCTGGGTAAAATATTACTAAGAGCTTTATATTGGGTTGTACCGAATTGTGTGGAGATTATATACTAAATAAAGCTCTTATCAAATAAAACAGCGACAAAGGATGATATCTGAGTGTTCATCCCTGCAGGGTCTCCAACTATGGAAAGGTGAATGCTGTTAAGAGGAGACCTTGCAAGCACTGTACATGGGACACTGGTTCAGGGGATAGAGGGAGTGAGGCAGGGAGAAAGAGAGAGACAGACAGAGAGACAGAGACAGAGAGAGACAGAGACAGAGAGACAGAGAGAGAGAGAGACAGAGAGAGAGAGAGAGAGAGAGAGAGAGAGAGAGAGAGATTCTCCATATGTAAGGCAGACAAATTGCCTGAAGCTAAAATAGAGTGGCTTGTAATTTTAATTTTTTAACTTAAATTAAAATTAAAAGTAGTTTTTAATCTGTGTGCTTTCTCTAATACGAATTGGAAAGATGGGACCCTCCAGTTTCAGTAGGTAAAGGGGGCCACTCATGGGACTTTCTTGTTCTTGGGTGGAGAACCCCAAGCCAGAGCCTGTCATGTTTACCTGGAGTAAACAGCAACCTGACCTTGCAAGAAACTGAACAACTGAGTTTTCTCTCGTGAGAAAACAAGAGAAAGTTATCCTCAGCACTCCTCCAACAAGGAAGCTATTAAAATGCCACTTCCTGAAATCTCCAGAGCATGGGTTTTCTATCTCAGCCTCATAATTTTTGTAGTCACTCCATTTGTCTCATGAGATATTGAAGACTTCTCAAAATCAGATTTGCAATTGATTGTATTGCAGATTAATATATAGCACTGTTGATACGGTGAGTCAAAGGGAAGGATTTTTAAATGAAATGAAATAAAAATAGTATACTGTGATCTAAGAAAATATTTGAAGACCATAGCTCTGTAGGTAACTCCAGAATAACAAGTGGCGATGAATAGGAGAGAGAGTGGATCGGCATCCTTTGGGGGAACTCAGAGGATCTCATAATTCTCAAGAGTTTAGCCTTGCACATAGGCTTGGGGTGTCGCTCAGCTGGCAGAGGGCTTGCCTAGCATGCAGAGAGCCTGAGTTTGATGGCATATGCCTGTGGTGGCAATGCCTATAATCCTAGCACTTGGTAGAAGGATCAGGAGTTCAAGGTCATCCTCAGCTATAGAGAAAGTTCTAGGCCAGCCTGGGCTACATGAGTTCTTTGTTTGCTTGTCTGTTTTAATCAAAAGGACAACAAAAACCTGCAGCTCGTGTCTGAGGCTATAACTAAGTTACATGCAGACTCTACTACGTGGCTTTCATTGAGCCGGGCAGCGGGTAAACACCACAAGAACATGTGTCAGCCCAGAGAAGAATCTGGAAGATGACATTTTTGCATTCTTCTTAGCAAAAACAAACAATGGCCGAGTCAGTCCAGCACACACTGTGAAGAGCTGACTGCAGGTCCTGATGACCCCCAAATACCAAGCTGCAAATGACTCCTCCAGGCCACATCACACACGGGCTCTGTAATGAACGAGGTACATCTGGGCACAGATTTACTTCCCTAATTATGTTTTGCTTGCTGTACTATTAAAACTTGCCTGCCTTCCCCAGTCACCTCTGGAAGAGAGCGTGGCTGTAGGAGCCTGATGGCAATGAGATAAAAAAGGACTGAGGATGCCCGAGTGTGAAGGGTTTTGTAATGAAAAGATTTATATCCTTGAGTTTGTACCATGGACGAGTTCTCTTTCATCCCTTTATTCCTTTCCTCCCTGCTCTGTGCTTTCTTTTTCTTCTTGAGAATGCAGAGATGGCTCATTAGAAGTATGTAAATGGGGCCTGGGAGTGTGACTGGGTGACTGAGTGTACTTGTTCTGTAAGCATAAGGACCAGCACTCATGTAAAAAGTCAGCCATGGCCTTGCACACCTTAAGTCTGAGTGGCAGAGACAGGAGGGTCACTGTGCCTTGCTGGCCACCCAGCCTAGTCTAAAAGCACTGAGCTCCAGATTCAGTGCAAGAGACCTTTCTCAAGGTAATAGGGGGGAAAGGGACAGAGCCAGATATCTGATGTGTTTCTCTTGCATTCCCAGGGCACACACACACACACCTGTACATACAAATGTGCATAGAACACACACACACACACACACACACACACACACACACACACACACACACACACATTATGGGAAATGTGTTTTGCAATCTTCACAAAATCATGGTTTGTAAGAAAGGAAAGAAAATACTATAATTTATTGATCCCCTTCAAAAGGCTGTATCACATAAATTGTCTATTTTCATCTTCCCCCAAACACTAAAAAATGGACATATTATCAATCTAGACCTGATGCTTGGAAATATTTATATAATAAGCAAAATGTGGCCAGGCAGTGGTGGCGCATGCCTTTAATCCCAGCACTTGGGAGGCAGAGGCAGGTGGATTTCTGTGAGTTCGAGTCCAGCCAGGTCTACAGAGTGAGTTCCAGGATAGCCTCAAAGCTACACAGAGAAACCCTGTCTCGAAAAACTATAAATAAATAAATAAATAAATAAATAAATAAATAAATAAATAAATAAGCAAAATGTTCAATTTTTAATTTGAATTGGCCTTGAGACCTATGGCCTTTCCACTATATAATCAGCTCTAGCCTTTACTATTCCAACCTGCCAGCACCCAGTGAATGTTAAACTGAAACCATGGGAGGTCCCTGTTTTTAAGCTGATCCCTCCATTTGGCCCCAACAGATCAGACCAAACAAAAATGTAGCTGCTCATGTTTCATGCTGTAGAAACAAATGAAACCCAAGGAAATAGATACTCCCCTCCTAAGAGACCAGATTTTCCTGAAAACAAGAAATCCCGGTCTACCTGAATCAGCAGTAAGAAGTGCCCTTGGCTTCAATCCTTGGCATAGCAGCAGCCCAGAGGAGCTGATG